ACACACACACACACACACACACACACACACACACACACACACACACAAACATGGATGCAGTACATAACAACTACAGAGAACAAGAGTCTGGCCTCTTTGCATCACTTATGTCGACTCAACGTAAAACCCACGCGGAGGATGGAGTGTAGATGTTGGGTAATAAGGGATGACATGAGGATGAACTTGTCAACGGATCATCGGGCCTTTTAGATGGATGAGATGGTCAATACATACTTAAGCCACAGCGGTGTCAGTGCAACACACCAACACATTGGCCTCCACGTTCACAGTAGTTGCTTAGCAACAGGGTATACGCAATGGGTTCTCTAATGTAGACCAAAATACAGAGGCGTGACTAACAAAACTAATACTGTAATATTCAAATTTGATCTCTCACTATTTGTATTTACCGAAAGCATTAGCTGGACCCATCCGTCTTTGATCATTCAATCTCACATAATAGCACAACAGCATCAAATGAACCTAAAACAAATGTTTAAAGCTATAAAAACAACACATGAATAAAAAGGTGAACCGGCACAAACTCACATATAAGCTTCAGTATATCTGAGACACAGGCAGCCCTGAACGCTTTGTATGCACAGTGCAAAATAATAACGTATATGCCTTCATATCCAAATTAACCCTGTTAGAAAATGTTGTTTTACTACAAAATAAAATCAACTTTATCTCCAATATTACCAAAAAACAAGGATGAAGTCAGACATTTCGCTACAAATAATACTATCTCATCGAAATATTCTGCGGTTAAAAGAGTGTTTTGGCTCCTGACCTGGTCCATTTCCATTCAGCTGAGTGAAGTTGTCGAGCATGAAACTGAAGAAACTGGAAAGCTGGAGAAAGAAAAACAAACATGTTTAAGCTTTCTGGAGGCTTCTGAATATGAGCTTATATGTGTACTTGAGCTTTTAAGCAGGAGGGAGTGCCTTTTCTGAGCGTCACCTGTAGCTGGTCCTGTTCCCCAGCATATTCAATGGACTGAAAGATGTTCCAGGTGTACCTGCGCCTCATCTCCAGACGGGCCATGTAGCGCCGGTACCATCGCTGGATCAAAACAGCTGCCTTCATAGCTACGACAAAAACACCAACTGTTACATTTCATTTAGAGGGGAAAGGTGTTTAAACATCTGGAGACAGATACATACAGGACATGAATATGACAAGTGAGACTCTTATTTTGTATTGTTATGGAGCACAGCATTTTAATTACCGTACAAAGTGACAAACATCATGAGGTAAATGTAAAAATGCTCACAGATATGCACACACACACACACACACACACACACACACACACACACACACACAC